TTGGTATTATGAATAAAACTTCTAGGAACATTTGAGTACAGATTTTCTTGTAGACATACTTTCATTTCTCTCAGGTAACTATCTAGAAGTAGAATTGCAGAGCTGATAAATGTTTTCATTTGTAAAATGAAAACAATAAAAATATATCATTGTCTAACAGAGTTCAAATTACTTTATTTCCATTTGGACGTTAAAAGGGAAGAGTTGACGCCATAAGTCACAGAGCAGCCCTCAACTGCAAAGGGCATGTGGACTTCATACGGGCAAGCAAAGTACAATTCCCTTGAGGGTGGCGATTTCTCTGAGCACAGGGAAGGGGCCCCGGACTTGCTTGTGGAGTAGCTGAAAGGGTAATTAAGTGACAATTGGTCAGGCTATGGGCGGGCAGCCGAGGCCCACATCACTGAAGACTTCGCATCTGAAGAGTTGAGACCCATGCTCTGCCTGGACCATGGTCATGAGCCTCAAGCTATCCCAGCTTTGCAAGAAACCCTATTCTGAAACTCAGCTGTGAATTGCTGAAAACAAGGCTAAAGTGCAATGAAATTGCTGAAAACAAGGGTAAAGTATAATGAAATTCTGGCAAAAATTAACGTTCAAGAAATCATCAGTATTACATATAAAGAGTTAAATAGGGATCATTTCTTTAACATTCCAGTTGTGCCTTCTCATTTGATTATAATGGTTATCCATGACTTTGCCTATATTAAATCAGCTGTAGTCAACTAAATGCATATCAAATGTAAATAATGTCTTACTCTGTTTTCTTTCTCTGCAACTAACTCCTCACATCCCAAAGGGAATTTCCCAATTCAACATCAAAGACTGATTAAACATTTGGTGTAGAAGCTTAAAAAAAAAAGACTGTAATTTTATTCTACATATACATGCTAGATAAAAAATAAACAAAAACTTCCTCTGGATGCTGAATGTTTGGAGTCATATCTTCTAAAAGGCAAAGAGAACAGGGGGACGCCTGGGTGGCTCAGTTGGTTAAGCATCTGACTCTCGATTTCAGCTCATCATGATCTCACGGTTCCTGAGTTCAAGCCCCCTGTTGGGCTCTGTGCTGACAGCATGGAGTCTACTTGGAATTCTCTCTTTCCCTCTTTCTCTGCCCATTCCCTGGCTCTCTCTCTCTCTCAAAATAAATAAATAAACCTAAAAAATAAAAAAGGCATAGAGAATGGGAGAAATAACAACTTCAGAACTCATCAACGAATTAAAGTCTCATGCCTCAAAATTTTATGATTAAGATATGTGGTCACTAACAATCTTCTGGTTGCCCACAACTCTAATCAATCATCAACACAAAGAACATTTTCATAGTTCTAAATCTCCCTTTTCGGCAAGGGAATTAAAAGAAAAATGAACTATTGGGACTTCATCAAAATAAAAAGCTTCTGCCCTGCAAAGGAAATAATCAACAAAACCCAAAGGCAACCGACAGAATGGGAAAAGATATTTGCAAATGGCATATCAGACAAAGGGCTAGTATCCAAAATCTATAAAGAACTCACCAAACTCCACACCCCAAAAACAAATAATCCAGTGAAGAAATGGGCAGAAAACATGAATAGACACTTCTCTAAAGAAGACATCCAGATGGCCAATAGGCACATGAAAAGATGCTCAACGTCACTCATCATCAGGGAAATACAAATCAAAGCCACACTGAGATACCACCTCATACCGGTCAGAGTGGCTAAAATGAACAAATCAGGAAACTACAGATGCTGGTGAGGATGTGGAGAAACGGGAACACTCTTGCACTATTGGTGGACTGTAAACTGGTGCAGCCGCTCTGGAACACAGTGTGGAGGTTCCTCAAAAAGTAAAAATAGAACTACCCCATGACCCAGCAACAGCACTACTAGGAATTTACCCAAGGGATACAGGAATGCTGATGCACAGGGGCACGTGTACCCCAATGTTTATAGCAGTGCTTTCAACAATAGCCAAATTATGGAAAGAGTCTAAGTGTCCGTCAACTGATGAATGGGTAAGAAGATGTGGTTTATATATACAATGGAATACTAGTTGGCAATGAGAAAGAATGAAATCATGCCATTTGCAGCAATGCATATGGAACTGGAAGGTATTATGGTTAGTGAAGTAAGTCAGTCAGAGAAGGACAGATATCATATGTTTTCATTCATATGTGGATCTTGAGAAACTTAACAGAAGACCATGAGGGAAGGAAAGGGGAAAAAAATAGTTACAGAGAAGGAGGGAGGCCAACCACAAGAGACTCTTAAATACAGAGAACAAACTGAGGGTGGACAGGGGGGTGGGGAAGAGGGGAATATGGGTGATGGGCATTGAGGAGGGCACTTGGGATGAGCACTAGGTGTTGTATGTAAGCCAATTTGACAATAAATTATATTCATAAAAAAACAAATATCCCTTTTCAATTTAGAAAATATGAATTTACAGGGAGGAAAAAAAGGGAATGTTTAAACTATTCTACAAGGCATTTGGCTCAATTAAAACTACAATGCATCTTTTGGATCTGACAGTTTATTATGGTAGTGTTTCCTTATAGTATAAACAAGGTAGTCATAGTAGATTTGACCATTTCAAACATTTGACCATTTCACACATTTACCAGTGTGGCTGGTAAATCAATACCTGGTCTACCATATTGAAACCTCCATGATAAAAGATAAAGGAGGATATTGGCTTGAGTTTCCCAGTAGCAGGTGCAACCTGTGGTCAGAGCTAGCCAAGGAGTAATCTGACTACTACAGTTCACAAAAATTAGCATAGGGATACACAAAGACTCTGCCCTTTGAAAGTCCAATTCATTTGACTCCTGTCTGCTTCTTACAAACCTATTGCTCCCATCCACCACCTCCAAATACATACACTTTGGGGGAATGGAAAGGGTGCTGCTCTAGAAGTTAGGCACTTCTGGGTTCTTGAGCAAATTACTTAATGTCTTTGGTTTCTCCTCCATGGAATGAGTAGTAAGTACTTTTCCTACTTTAAAAAAAACCTCTTTTAACGTTTATTTATTGTTGAGAGACAGGGAGAGACAGAACATGAGCATGGGAGGGGCAGAGAGAGGAGACACAGAATCTGAAGCAGGCTCCAGACTCTGAGCTGTCAGCACAGAGCCCGACACAGGGCTGGAACTCACACACCGCGAGATCAGGACCTGAGCCGAAGTCAGACGCTTACCCGACTGAGCCACCCAGGCACCCCAGTACTTTTCTTATTTGAGACACAGAGGTTGGGCCCAGACTTCTTGATCCTAGACCACCCACTCAATATCCTGTCCTGGGGATTCCTCTTTTTACATAGCGATGGCTCTGCCTTATATAGCAAAGCATAAGCCTTCCATATCAAGTGCTATCCAATGGCCTCTCAGTTTTATATTTTTGGAAGGAAAGGCCCATGGGATATTTCTATTCTCCCAAGTTTTACCTTTGGAGAATAACAACATATTAAAGAAATACTTGAAAAGGATTTAAGATGCAAATCCACCTGATATATATATTTGTTTGTCAATAACACCTGTTACCAGATGGCTTCCACAGTACCATTTTAAAATGTCAACCTAAAAAGCTTTAGGTGCTAGTTTCCTTACAGGTGAAGGAGACAGCACAAGCTTTAATGGCTCTGGCAGGAAGATATCAAATGTGAATTTGGGCTGTGATGACCAGTTAATCCAAATTTCACCACTTTCACCCGCACTTTGGAAAGAGAACTCAACTACTGCCAGAGAGCTGTTACACCATTGTGCAGCCATGAGGATGCACCTTGAAGACCTCCCACTGCAAGGAGTGTAACTGGCCAAGGGCCCCAGGGCTGTGTTCTGAAATCCATCCCTGTGTTCTGTCAGAGGCCACTACCACTGCCAGAGTGCAGCAGGGATACTCGAGCAAGCCCCTAGCTACTGACTTTGCTTGAAGACTTCCTGATGTCTTGGTTGCCTGTGTCTGCCTAGCAGACTTAGTACACATCCACCAAACCTTGCTTTTTTTACTTGGAACATGACTTGAATCATGGCCTGATGATTCTCTCAGCCTTTTCCAGCTCCTTCCCTAATGCCTTCCATGTAGCCATTTCCCTTAATAATATCCTTGCACTTTTAGTCCCATGTTGACATCTGCTTCTCAGAGGTCGAGACTAACATATCATTCATTTATCTATCCATCCATCCATCCATCCATCCATCCATTCATTCAAGAAATATTAATGGAGTTCCTACAATATTCCTAGCACTTTGTGCTAGGCACTGGGGATAGTGGTACAAGACTGAGATGGCCCTGAGATGGTCATAACCCTTCCTCTCAGGATCATAAATGCTTCTCTTTCTTTGGCTCTTACTTTGTGTGGGGCACTAAGGTAAGAGCACATCACATGCTTACTCTCATCTGCTTTTCACAACAACCCTTAAAGAAGATATTATTCTTGCTTCATGGATAAGGAAATTGAGATCTAGAAAGATTAAGTTGCCAGGGGCTTCCCTAATACAGGTAGCTTTTTCACTCCTAAATCATGTTTTTAACCATTAAGCTAGGATAGATCTCCCTCATTTGGGTAACAGTTCTGAGCACTTTTCTTCTGGTATTGTTTGCACATCCATTATCATCCATATAGTTGATTTTCCAAGGTCTGACTTCATTTATTCACTTTACATTATGAAAGCCAGGGAATCACTTATAGAAGAGGGACATGGTAATTCAGCACATTCTCGGTCCTACACTATTCCAAAGTCAGTTAATGATGACGTTGTTTAACTCATGTAGAAGAGGTTTCTCGCCTGGCGTGAGTTTCTAACTCATCTTCATCTATCACAAAGAAGATAGGAGAGGACAAACAAATCCCTTGGCTTCTCTGCTTTTTATCTTGGTCCCAGCTCAGCTCTGGAAAACTGATGGAAGCTGGTCACATGCATCCAAAGCTTTTCTCAGAAGCCAGCCAGGCCTACTGGAGGGTCAGCCATACCAACCTATGTGCCAACCCTTCTGAATACTGATGCAAACTCATACCATGATCTCCAAGGTCAGCTATGGTGTCTTCTATACTTGACTCAAGTGGGCCAAGATCCAAGGAAGGAATGGGCTGAGACTCAGGCAGGTTCTCTGAAGTCAGGTCATCAGATTCCTTGTGGAAGGTAATTAACAATTCATGAGAAGCTGATAGAAAAAAACGGCATTACCACAAATGAAACAATATTGTTTAGAAGACTATTTGGAGGGGCGCCTGGGTGGCGCAGTCGGTTAAGCGTCTGACTTCAGCCAGGTCACGATCTCGCGGTCCGTGAGTTCGAGCCCCGCGTCAGGCTCTGGGCTGATGGCTCAGAGCCTGGAGCCTGTTTCCGATTCTGTGTCTCCCTCTCTCTCTGCCCCTCCCCCGTTCATGCTCTGTCTCTCTCTGTCCCAAAAATAAATAAACGTTGAAAAAAAAAAATTTAAACATGATACCATCTCAGATTTTAAGAAGGCAGCTTGAGATAAGAGAAACACCAATTAAGGTGACCTTAATCTTCTACACCATCAATTTCAGCTCCATGACTAGGGTGAGGCAGGAGGAATGGCCATGAACACAACTGAAGGGGGTACTCACTTTTAGGCTCCTGAAAGAGAAGGAGCGATCAGCAGCTAAGAACAAATACCCTCTTCAATTCTGCATCCAGGGTATCACATCTACCTCACCCTAGCCCAGCCCTGCTCAGTTTCCTCATCTCAGAAGTACAGCTGTTGCCTTGGATGACTTCCACGTTCTCTTCTAGCTTGAACGGTTCCATGATGCTGTGAATTCCAGTTTCCTAAAGAAAGAGATCTAAAAGACCACATGAAAGAATTCACACTTGGGTGCCTTGGGGGCTCAGTCAGTTAAGTGTCAGACTTTGGCTCAGGCCATGATTTCATGGTTTGTGAGTTCCAAGCCTCGCATTGGGCTCTCTGCTGTCAGTGCAGAGCCTGCTTTGGATCCTCTCTGTCCTTCCCCCACTTACACACACACTCTCTCTCTCTCAAAAATAAACAAACATTTAAAAAAAAGGAAAGAATTCACACTTCGAAAAAAGTAAAATTCTCAAATATATATATCGGTATTCCAATAGATCATTTTGCTTTTTTTTTTTTCCAGTCTTTTTTTCAGTAGAGCTAATGTTGAATGACCTATTTTCCTTGAAAAGTGGCTTTCATGGAGAACTACTCTGAGAGTATCTTATTAAAAACAGAAAGTTAAATTCAAACTAATCTTAAATGAATAAGCAAAGCAAAGCTTGCCATACTGTGGTATGGCATTTGTGAAAACACAGTCATAAAATATTTTTAAGAAGTCCATTTTTTGTGCTGTATACTTGTTGCAGGAGGTGAAATTGGTTCCAAATTTGAAAGGATCACTGATAGCACACAGGCAACTTTAAGAACTTTAAGCACACAGAGACTGTGCGAAATGTGTTTTCACTTTTACATCAGAAATCATTGGAAAATCAGTACCTGGACCCTCAACGGACTTTGATTCACTAAGATTCTCTTTGAAAAAAACAGAATTGTCATAATTGCTTCTCTTAGCAAGAACTTGATCTGATCGTGGATTCCCATTATTATTTCATTCCTGGAGACCTGAGCTGTTATGCACTTCTCCATAGAAAGCCATTTCTGGCCCCATCACAACTGGATGTGCCGCAGGATAAAAGAAAGATCAGGCTTCTCATGTGTATTACAGGAATCTAGTTTCTGTTTTGTTTTGTTTTGAAGCTACCATCCTTTAAAGAAATAGTGCCTAACATGAATCCACATTCAACTATGCTTCCAGATTTCAACACCCAGGTTCAGCCAAGCAGAAAATGCCTGCCCAAATAAAAGGCCCCTGTCAGTTAGGGTCTGGAAAACAAAACAAGCTATTCTCCTAAACGCCTTGAAGAATTTTTATAACATGTTTAAGAAATGACAGAGCCAGCCCATTTTTCTCTCTTAACTCTGATTTTTATCTTATATGACTGCTTTTGAAATATAAGGTAGTTTGCTTCAGCTGGCAAAAAAAGGAAGAAGGAATTGAGAACAGAGCCCCAGTGAAATCAGGATGAAATGAAATCCTAAATATGTGTATGGGTGAAGACGGGAGCATTTTCCTCTTCCTTTTCTCTTCATCACGTTTTTCTTCAGCTTCTTGCATCTGATTAATCCAATTTGTTTCTTACACTTTATTTCATCTTTTCCAGCTCACTGGTGCTTTTCCTTGAGATGTTTAAAGCTTTCCAGTCCCTCTGCAAAGTGTTTAGCTTCCCATTTTCTCTCTCCTTTGTTCTTTGAGTATCATTAAACCTGCCTCACTCTGTGCCCATGAATATGATTAAATGTGTCTCTTGCCTGCTCAGGCCCCTCTCTTCATCCTCCTTCTGGGGCCAACAAGGAAGCCCAAGGTCACTTCCCCTTTATGTCTGTTCCCTTTAAATGCTTTTTTCCTAAATAGTCTATAAGAAAGTGTTCATCGGTGGCTTTTCCAAGCCTTCCTTCATCTGAAGGTGAATGGCTTTCAAGAGCCCCAGTTCCTCTCCATTATTAATCAGAATGTGGTCCTACACCAGCAGGTCGGAATCACCAGGGAGCTTGTTAAAAATTCAGCACCCTATGCCCCATCCTAGACCAAACTAATCAGAATCTGCCTTTTAACAAAATCAACAGATGGTTTGGGTGAATTTTGAAGTTTGAGAAGCATTGCTGTAAGCCATAAGAATTTGGAGGAGAGGGGCACATGGGTGGCTCAGTCGGTGAAGCATCCAACTTTGGCTCAGGTCCTGATCTCGCAGTTCCTGGGTTTGAGTCCTGTGTCAGGCTCTGTGCTGACAGCTCAAAGCCTGGAGTCTGCTTCAGATTCTGTGTCTCCCTCTCTCTCTGCCCTTGCCTTACTTGCTCTCTCTCTCTCTCTCTCTCTCAAAAAATAAACATCAAAATAAAAAAAATTAAAGAATTTGGAGGAGAGCCAGTGGATTGCTCACCTGTGAGGTCAAAGAAGATTTTTCTGAAGAGAAGGTGACATTTGAAATTGAGAAGGTGGGATGCTAAAAATGTGCAGAAGGAAGTGGCTGAGAGAACTTCAGGAAATAGGGCAAGATACCTGGGGGTGGCTATGCAGCCCTGTCTGTAAGACTGAACCAGCTAGAAGAAGATACTGTCTGCAAGAACCACGCATCTGCTCGCAACATTTCCTGTCCCCATCAAATGTAAACTTAGGAATGTGCCTCTGGAAAGCTCAGAGTCAAAGACGTTCATGACACTAAATCTCAGATGATCAAAGAATGAACCAACACCTCTGGACAAGCATTAGGCACTTCCCCTCCTGCTCCTTTTGCTCCTTGCTGATGGAAACGAGATAGAATTAGAAAGAAGTAGGTAGACACTGGGAAGTTGGGGGTTGGGACTTCATGAGATCTTTATGAAATCCTTACTTTCCTTGTCTGAGTTGAGCCAAGATCTAGACTATCCTGTCTGGATCTCATGTTCTGTGGGATAATATACAATTAATAAAATCTCCCAAGATTCTGCCTGCCATAAGGTCTCAGTTTTTTTTATTTATTTATTTTTTAACATTTATTTATTTTTGAGACAGAGAGAGACAGAGCATGAACGGGGGAGGGTCAGAGAGAGAGGGAGACACAGAATCTGAAACAGGCTCCAGGCTCTGAGCTGTCAGCACAGAGCCCAACGCGGGGCTCGAACCCACGGACAGTGAGATTGTGACCTGAGCCGAAGTCGGACGCTTAACCGACTGAACCGCCCAGGCGCCCCAAGGTCTCAGTTTTTAAAAACATGTTTATTTATTTGTTTGAGAGAGAGAGAGAGAGAGACAGAGAGACAGAGAGAGAGAGAGAGAGAGAGAGAGCGCAGAGCCCAATGCGGAGCTCTATCAGTGCAGAGCCCAATGCGGAGCTCGAACTCACAAACCGTGAGATCATGAGCTGAGCTGAAACTGAGAGTCGGACACTTAACTGACTGATCCACCCGGCGCCCCCATATGGTCTTGGTTTTACCTTAAAGTTACTGCAGGATCCCCCAAGGATCCCAGCTTACAGAAGGACAAGGTCACTTATAGTGTACAGGATCACTTATAGTGTATAGGATCACTTACAGTTGTTTAACACTGATAATAATATCCGAAATGAAAAAATAACTCACAAATTATTATTTTGAAAGGTCAATGAAGAAAAGCAAAAACATCAAGTAAATTATCAGACACTAAAATGTAAGATCATACTTGAAACTACATTTGTATTTGCCATACAGCAACTTCAGGAATAAAGAAAGTTATTTAGGTCTTATACAACAAAATATTACCACATCTGTACTTCTCAATTTCTAATCTCTGAGGATAAAATCCCTTTAACATTCCAGGGAAAATGTCCAGTTTTATTCAGATGATTAACAAGTAGTTTCACACACACTAACAAACACAGAATCTCTATAATCATGCCAGATTCCTCCCAAGGACCTTGGCAATTGGCAATTCTCAGTCCCATGGTAAAGAAAGCTGACAGACCTAGGAAAAGTCATGCACCTCCAGAAGTTATCATTTCAGGGCCTAAAAACTGGGGAGCTGAAGACAGGCACTCAGTGCTTGGAGGGGGCTCAGGTCCTTCCATGCAGTGGTGAAATCAAGACCTTTCTCCAAGTAGGGATCCAACACTGCTGCTGACCCCATCTCTTTCAGCCAGCAATTTCTCTGTTCACTAGGTTTCATGAGTGGGAATGATACCAACTCCCATGTCTCTCCGGGACCCACAACAGATCCCACAGCTGGCTTCACTTAATGGAGTGGGCAATGGGAGGAGAGTGGGGTGAGTGGGATTGAGCACATGTCAGCAGTGTCCCTACATTATCTGCTAAAGGGTCCAAGAAAGAGATACTCTTTTTTAAAAATGTTTATTTCTTTATTTTGAAAGAGAGAGAAAAAGAGTGAGCAGGGGAAGGACAGAGAGAGAGGAAGAGAGAGAGAATCCCAAGCAGGCTCCTCACTGCCAGTGCAGAGACCAACATGGGGCTTGATCTGAAAAACCTTGAGATCATGACCTGAGGTGAAATCAAGAGTCAGATGCTTAACCAACTGAGTTACCTAGGCACCCCAAAGGAGAGAAACTCTTAAGGTCACAGAAGCCTGGGCCCCTCAACTGGTCCAACTTTGGATTTTCAGAAATCTATAACACTCACAACCACTACATATTTCAGAAAGGTGGATTAACAAGTGATTCTAAGCTCTGCCTGGTTGAGAGTTTGGTGCTCTCTGATCACTGAGCTACAGCAGAGCTAGTGTCCCCAGACTCCAGGGATCATCCCACAGCTTCAGGGGGCTTGGTTCTTACTGCTAAAGAAAAAGAATCAGATGCAGAGATCTCCAATGAATGAAAAAACAGAATTTGAGACAGTAAAGTTCTCCATGAAAAGGACTCCTTCCCATGTTGCTTTTACCAGAAGAGATAGGAAGTTGGAGTTGAAGTCTATTGTACAAATACGACCCTGAAGAAAGACTTCCTTAAATATCAGAGCCTATACCAAGACCCATGATGTTTTTAACCATTAGGGAAAATGGTATTTGTTATTCAGGAGCTTGGGATGCAGGGGACATGATTCAGGGTCCATTTCATGGGACTCCAAAACCCTACTTATTATTGGACTTCTAAGGTAATTATTCAAAGTTCAAAAGGGGTATTAATACAATGCACAATGATACAGACAGGAGACAAATAAAAAGTGAAAGAATAAAAGATAAGACAGAAAGAGAACGATGGACTAAAGAGGTAAAGCAACAAGAGCATGGCTGAAATTCAAAATTAGATATGAACACAATTTGCTCTGCAAAGTCATAATTTTACTCCTCAGTTGTTCATTCCGTGCTGATTGAGTTATCCTGAACACAGTATGCACTTGGATGTTTTTGGATGAATCTATCAATCCATCTCTAAGTACAGCTGCTCTGAATTACTGTCATCACTAACCACTGGCCTATATTCTAAAATAAACCCTACTACCTCCTCCCTGAATGGGGCAAAGTTGGTCTGGATGCCTTTTTTCTCCCCTTTGTCCCTCTTCCTGCCTGATCAGCCACATGAATGTGATGAATCTGAAGCAATTCAAAGTCTGATGTGAAATTTAAAACAAGAGAGCACTTACATGGAGAACATCAATAGTTAGCTGCTCAGAGTTCCGAGATCTCAACTCCTGCATTCGTTTGTTATTTTCTTCATATTTTTCTTCTGCAAGCTTTCTGCAGATTTAAAGTGAATGTAGAAAAAACAGCTGCATTTTGCTAAAGCCACATCTATACTATGCAGGTAAGCGTGATCCCTGTTTCAACAGGCAAACCGGGGTGTTGGAAAACCAGGTCAATGGGTCTCTCCCTCATCAAGGAAAATGCAGTGCAGAACCCACCTGATTCTCTTTTAAGCACACATGATAATGCTCTGGCTGCTCGTCCATCCTTAAGGCCCCTAAAATGAATGCCTGAGGCATGCCTCTGAGGCAAAAGAAGGTGGTTCTTTCTTTGATCCCTGGGCATTCTCTATGGTGGCAGGGGTGTGCGCCCCTGACGTCCAGACAGTGCCCAGCACATACTGATAACTCGACTACTGTTCTCAGGATGAATTAACCCACACACAAGGAGATTAGAGCTAGATGTCAAAGAATTTACGCAAAGAACTTGAGAGTCACTGTAAAGGGGAATTTTTCTCAGACACATTTTGTTTTGTGTGTAGTATAGAAGAATAGAAAGTAACAGAACTGCCACTAAACTGAAAGAAAGATTTGAGTTTTGGTGATTACTTGTGTGCTAATTTCGATTTATATTGTTGAAAAGTCACTGAACATCCCTGTAGTCAAATTTTGTTTATAAAGTGGATACATTATATCCCTTCTGACAATAGAGTCTTTTTATGACTGCACTCGAATCCTAAAATAATGATCAAAAACAATTCCAATGTAATTTATTCACAAAATTAGGACCAAACTTTAGTTAAAACCATTGCCTTTAAATAAGAAACATATTGAATGTCATGTGGAAGATGGATTACTTACTTTGTGTATAAAAAAGTTTTAATCTGAAACATAATTTGTAATATGCGTATAAGTTATTAAATTGCCTTTTTAATCTGTTCCTGTCAGAGATTTCATTTTCCTCTTACCCTCAAACAATGACATGAGTCATGGTACCGCAGGAATATTGCCATTCCCGAAGAGTTAGAAATAGGCCTGGGACTGTGACAGTGGCTCAAGGGATTTATGTAAATATATTTTCTCAGTAAAACCCATACTCAGTGGTGCCGTGGTTTGCAGAAACCAGCTTGCACTAGGTTCCCAAGAGCAGATTGTGTCCATATCTTCCAACTGAACATTCGATGATATCATACCGGTGGCTTGAAATTGGCCATCATGGGAGTATTTACACCCCCTGCCCCACAACCCCAGAGGTGGTTGTTAAACATTTACCAGCACACGACTACCCCTGATGCACTCTGACAGAAATACCTTTCCACACTGATTACAGAAAGCGTGTGTTAAGGGAAAAGAAGTAGTCTCACCGATTCTTCCTTGGTTCCTCATGATACGCACTGCAAGTGCGAGAATACCTCTAAATCCTCTTTCAGATATGCTACCAAGGTCACAAAATGAACAGATTTGACTTTCAGGTCTTTTCTGTCTCTCTAGTTGTTAGTTGGGGCTTCTAAACTACTAAAAAGTTGGCAGAGGAACAAAGAAGAAGAATGAGGAAACTGGATAATCTACCAACTGAAAAATCTGTCTTTCAGAAATCGGGAGTCTAGGTCTCTTTGGAATTTTCCCTTTTCACGCAAATACTTTAATTCCTAGTGATACTGTCCACCAGCAGCCCGCCTTGAGCATTGACTTTTCAAAGGGTTTCACTTGGCAGAACAGAGCTGCTTCCAATCTGCTTCCTAAAGCCAACAATTTCCTGCTGGGACATTCTTCTCCCTATAGACCAGCTAGGTCTCCTGGCAGAGGGAGTACAGCAAACATCTGGGGAGTGAGGACAAGATAGTGAAGCCACCCTCTCTCACTGGCATATGTACAAGAGG